TTTTGATATTTCAAGCTTATGTCAATACTATGCTTCCCCATCTAAACTTCTGTTTTTAGTTTTTAAGTTTCACACTATTATTAACTTTGACTCAACTTTATTTTGCAAAACTGCAGTCTGTCTTGATCTTTTTTTCCACTATTGTTTTCATTTAGACTTCTCATTTTAAATAAATATTTATTTAATTCCTAACATGCAGAAAATACTATGCTAGGTGTTGTGTTCAAACTTACCAAGAACATAACTACCACAGGGAATTTACAGTTTTCTAGAATCAAGCTAGCAACAAAATTAGGAACTTTTGGAGAATACTGAGGTGTTGTTAAAACCCTCAGCACAGATACAGTTCAATTAGGAAACAGTTCCATGAGAAAGTCACATTTGAATTGAGATATGAGGGTTCATAGTTGGAGGATCAGAGAAGAAAGCTCAACAGCCTGTTCCTCCCATGGGCAAAGAGAAAGATAAAGACTCCTATGAGGGACCTGGGGCAAAAGGAAGGAAATGAAGGGATACCAGTGTATTGTAGAGCAAGAGGAGGAGAGGAAGGAGAAGAGCCATATGTTGCACAACTTGGAAGGCCATGCTTAGGATTCTGGTCATTGCCTCAGAGAAATGAAAAGCTATTTTTATAAAAGTAAAGGACTTTATTCCAGCTACTATTTTAGAGAACCCACTGTGGAGATATAAATGTGCCCAGTAAGAACTGACTCATTCATCCAACATCCATGAATTTGGCCTCTCTCATGTACGCACACTCTGGTAGACACTGGTAGAGCGTGCACGCAAATGCGTGCGTGCACACACAGCTGACAAATAAGAGATAAAACAGGTCAACATATACCAGAACTGGGAAAGTATATCAGCAGGACAAGCAAGAGCTAAGAATGCCTAAAAGTGTGATAGTTAAGAACCCTTAAATTATATTGTTTTGTGTTCTACAAAAAAAGCTTTAACATTTCAATTGTTTAAGGTAGAGAACTCTATTCACCCTTCCTTATTTCAGTTCTTCTTTCATTATTTCAGTTTTTTAAAGAAGTTTTGATTACTATCTTCAGTCACATTCCATTTAATACAAGCTTAAATTTTAGAATGATGTAACACTATTAAGTTCATTCTTGGAGCTGAACATTAATGCCTATAAGGAAATTGAGAGACTGAAAAACAAAATTTAAACTCCTTAAAAGAAAATATATTTACATCCCAACTAAAGACACTATAAGAAAAAGTACCTAGGAAGAGATGCACAACATACTGCTGGAAGCATTTGTCTGTAACAAATGGGTAAACTAAAGATTAAAAACATACAATTGGAATAATTGTTCCAAAAGACTGAAGTTTTGGGAATGAAGAGTCAAATGGTACTGTATGTCAAGGAGAGAGATGAGAGTACTATATATCTTAGTCCCTGTCAAAACTGAGCACACAGACCTGTGATTTGACGGTATATCTTTG